TTTACTACTATCTGGCTGGAGAGGTTGTCCGACTTACAGCTTAACGAGAGTTTATATATGTTGTCCGACTTATCGAGTTTCACTATGTATAATAAAATTTGTTCGGAAACCCGACATTTCATATGAAATCGCGCAATTCCGATAACCGATATTATTTTGTTCACATCCATATAAGAATTAAAGCTCGATAACCGATATATAACCAATAGCAAAGCTTCATGTGTTATAAAATATCGGGTATCATCAATTAGAAACACACTCTTTGCAACCGTACAGAACAGCGAAGAAGACGAAGAAGAAAGTGGTATCACAGTTTATAATTTCATTAAAAGCGGCTTTAGAAAGTGTGGACAACCTAACGCGATTTGTCAATGATCCGCCCAGTGGTTTCGATAGGAAGGCATTATCGGTTCTGCGTTTATTGAAATCACAGTTTCTGTATTAATTGTTAGCGTTGGCGAATTTTCTTAATTTACTATGTAATTGCTTCCACCAATAAAATTGTAATAATCAATATTGCGCCTCTATATCGGGTTTTCGAAATTTATCGGAACCCGATAGAAAAAGGCGAAAACAATGCTACTACTATCAGTTTTTCGAGCTTTGACTGTACAGTACTCTTTATTCTTCGACTGTTTTTACTTATGTGACATCTGTCTCCAAAAGAAATCGGTATGACTATGTCTTTGCATTTCAAACTATTATATAAAAATGATAAAACATGCCTTAGTAAACAAATATCATATGTAAGTTAGTGTAACGTTAATTTCTAGTTTTTTTTCTTCCTAGCATTATACTTGTTGTTATTCACATGGTTGCAACTGTCTCACCGGTAACGTTCGCTTCGTTTAATCTACAATGCAAGCTCTCACCCGAATACAAGTGTTTTGGATCTACTATAACTGAATATGAGCGACGTACTAGTACTTGCAATTAACGTTCGGAATTGGATACTATCCAAAAAATAATCATTCAGTCGAATGGCTATTTTGGCTATCAAACAACCGAATATTACAATTATCTAATATTGCGTCATCGATTACTCTTTTTAAAACGTAATATGGCTGTTGTAGACGCGTTCGCTAGCAATGAATAAGGTCTATCATGCGTGTAAAACATCAATTATGATATTTCTTTGCTTTTATCCCTTACTCTATTTCTGTGTTATGCAGTAGGAAACGCATAACACTGTACATTGATTTTCATTCTTTGGTACATCATGCAATACAAGGTCATAGAATTTTGTGTTGCCTCTACTTTTATTTTTGATATACGAGTTATCAAATATGTTTTGTATGGATTGTCTCGGTATAATTATAATTGTTCGATATACATTTGTTCCAGTATAATAATAATAATAATTTGTAGCTACAAAAGCTGACTGATTGCTAACGCTGAGACTGATAACTTTTGAATACTGAACAATTTCTTATTCGAATCTACTCGGATCTTTGACGGGTTAGGGTTAGGACTGATGTAATTCCTTATCTTCGTTACATTTGTTGAAGTTCACGGCGAATAGAGTTTCTACGCGTATTAATCATTAAACCTGTCGAGCATACATTTGTCTTACATTCCGACATTACGCTGATATTGTAGTATTACGCTGACTTTATTTTACAGTCAGTTTTTCTTTTAAAGTTGAGCTTCGCCGCCATGATATCTTTGCCGTCAACATGATACTCTCTCGTCACCCATCACTCTTTACGTGTATAGTGTGTTGATTGGCTTTACGGAGGCTTTCTCAAGCTTCATTAGATAATCGCGTTATTCAATTTCTCGTTCAACTCCACATGTTCTTGCTAAACCTTCAGCGAAATTTCTGCTTGTTTGATATAAACTTTCATAAAGCTTTAGCGTGTCTTCAAGGGTATTGACACGATTTGTCAGCTCGTTTGAATCTTAACTGTTTTTCAATCTTTGTAGTAAAACCTGATATTTGACCCGCTAGTCTATCGGTACGATATGCGCGTTTAATTTGTCATTACATTATCTATTTTGCTTTATTTCGACTGGGGATTATTGTTATCGTTTATTGAGTAACCTTATAGCTAGTTGAGTGAGGGATAGTTTCTCCGTAGTTGCCTATAGAACCAACTAAATTAAATAATTATTGGGTTTGCAAGAATGTAATTATAATTGGGACTTGAGTCCAATCTCGTTCGTTGGAGGCTAGTTGTTCTTTCATTATCTAACGTATTTATTATTAATGTTGTGCAAAAAAATTATTACGTTGAATTACCCGAGGGCATTAAACTAATAGTATAAAAGTAAATTGCTCAATGACAACACTTTTATTTGCCGGAAAAAGCAGAAATCGGTCCTACGAAACAGTCATAATTGAAGTCGTTGTAATTTCTGCTAAATAAAAGAACCCTTGGAATGAAGCAATAAACGTTCGAACGATATTATTCACAACCAAGCGTAGCACTAATAATGAGTAAGTCTACTTGGGATGGAAGAGGGTGCAGCTATTGAGCAGCGTGCTTTATATATTAAACTTAAATCAATGGAGGGTAATCGTCAGACATTGACGTTTAAAGTGGGGCAAGCTTGGTGCTCACTTTCAAATTTTGAGTTTGCTAATGGATCCGACAATGACGCGTTGATAGTACTGACCGATTGCTCGTGCCGTGCCACAAGTAAATTTTTAGTCTTATGCCATAATCAGCCTTGACACATTGTACTCCAATGACCTACTGGAACATTGCTCCAGTCCAATGCTCCATTGTTCTAATGGTAAGCCACTGGATATACCTCCATTCACAAAATAAAACCTGTGATATTAAACCGTGAGATGAGATAAGATAAGATGACGCTTTGACATTTTATTGGCCATTATTATTGGTTATCCTAAAAAGGCAACTTTTCCATTCGCTAATGGAGCAATGGAACGTACTCCATTGATTCCATTCGCTCCATTGCCAACAAAATTACTGTGCCACAATTGAGTCAATGGAGCCAATGGAGCCAATGGAGTACAAGTTCCATTACTCTATTCCATTGAATTCTGAATGGAGCAGATATATACCAAGGCTGGCCATAATGTATTACGAAGTCGCGAATTCTGCGCACATTTGGACTAACTATCAATCCAGACTGAAGTATATTTATTATAATAATCCTAAAATTTTTTTTGATAAACTATTACAAATCTAATATTTGGTTGGCCATCAATTCTATTTGCTATGCTCTTAACTAAATCCATCTATGCAAATTTTGGAATTCAGTGATAAGTAAAGCAGGGTAATTGTTTTATTTTTTTCTGTTTTGTGGATTTTTGAACGCCTTCGAAGCTCGATCAGATTCAAGTCAGTCAATTGACTTGGCAATGGCAAAGTTTTCATCTTCCTTGCAACAAATTAGACGTATATTTGTAGATTTGGTCGACTTTAGTATTTATTTTGTAAATTAACGACATGACGCGTACTTTACACTATATGTCAACAGGGATCTAGGCTATGACATATAAAAAATTTGGAAACGTAGACTGCCACACAAAATGCAAGCAAAGGGGTTACTTACACGTATTTCAGATAGGCAGATTGGTTCTAACTACATGTCCCATAATAAAATGAAACGTTGAATTTACTCGTGCAAATTACAATTGATCAGTCGTTGTAACTGACGAGGTCTTGGTAATAAAATACTGAGGTGGAAATATTATTGACATGCGCCCTAAAACGAGTCTTACGCTTCTACATAATATACCTTTTATTAGTAAGAAATAAAAAAGCGAGCATAGGATACGATATACTAGATAGACCTGCAGACCGAGATTGCTAGCTCTATATTAAGAAGTAATTTATTCACCCTATCCAGAGATTAAGTTTGTTGTTACATAATAATAGGTGCACTTACCTTCGGTATTATTATAGATATTCCGTGCTCGGAATAAAGGAGCGCATGTGCACCAAACAATAAGTCGCTTGGAATCAATTCAGTCTTAATCGATGCGACTGCTGTAACACGGGAAGAGTACGAGCTAAGTTCTGTAATATCACCTGGTTTGCTCTCTCCCAATTGCAAACCGTAATATAAAGAAGATGTTCCCGCCGTGGGCTTGCTGAAAGCATCAACAAAATTCTCAAAGAGAAAATTGATTAGTAGCTTATGTGTTAATAAACTAAGAAAGATGTGATTCAGATTTTATCCTGCAAACAGAACAAACCGTCCTGGAACTTTAATGCCAACAAATGCGATGGCTTAGTCGAACTATCCCAATAAATTAATAATCTAAAACTTCGTGCATACTATTACATGAATAAGTCTGTCTATATTTAGTTCGATAGATATTATAGAACCGTCTTATCGTGAGTGGTTATTAACTATTTACATTCACCATCCCGGTAATCAATAGCCAAGTGTCTCCAACTACTAGAACTCAATCTTAGTTGGACTTTCGCCTTGTGGAAGATCTGCCTCTTCTTCTTATCCGTAATATTCACTCCGACCAGTGGGAACGAGCATATTTCAACAACTTGCTTTTCATCCTCGTCGTCATCATCTTGAGCACATTCCATTGTAGCGGAATCGAACTTGTCCCCACTCTTGAAAAATTGATACTCAACAACAGGGACTTGTGTCTGGAATCTAAAACGAAATATACGAATAATTTCAAGGACGATAGAAGGAGCTAATTCTTCGATATCATTCCTTTTCGATTCATCCTTAATCTGACGACATTTTTCGAGTTCGTTCAATACAACCTTGACCACGTTTACTAAAAATGAATGATTGTCGGACGCAAACCCACGATTGCCAAGTACAGCATATACTTGTTGACATATCTTCACTCCCATCATACGCGTCAGTTCATCCCCTCCTTTGCGTGTCTCAGCAAACTCTTTTATATAACTCTCCAAACTAGATGTTGTATTCAAGATAAGTGCTTCCAGGAAATAGTCTAGATCAGCCTTAGTGTATAGTTCAAGGTCCTTCTTACTTTTCCCATTCAAATCCTCGATACTTTTGTTGAGGTATGTATTTGTACATTTCAACACTCTCTCAATAATATACCTTTGTAGTGCACCGCTGAGGATTAACTTTGTTGAAGGGTCTAGTCGACAGTCATATCTCTGCAATAGCCCAGCAATCCCTTGTTGATCGATAGCAATGTGTCTACCTTTTAATTGAGTAAACTCTTTTAGACTA